GTGATCGATCAATATGTATTTGAGGAAATATGCAATGTGACCAATAGAGAGGATCGGGCCATTTATTGGGCACTGGTATCGTGGGGAGACGGGGGGGGGGGGAACTGGGTTTAACAATTTGACGAAATGCCAGGCAAGAGGCTATCGAGTAAGTGGGATGTGGGAGGGTTGTGTCTCGCCTTCTTGTCTTGTTCCCCCTTTCCTCTTTTTCCTCCTATCTTTGCTTTTCTAACCTTTTCGGGCACCGCCCCTTCCCCTAAGCTACGTCACAGTGTAACCATGGACAATTCATTTTTTTTAATAATGACTGTTGGCCTTTCGGGGGGATTCACACCGAAATAGAAAGGCTGTAGAACGAGCTAAAACCTCGACGTTCTTTTTCGCATCAGCATCGGCCGGAAGTAAATTGGAGGTGGGTGGAAAATTAAGTTTGTAATAAACATTGATTCGCAGTCGTCCAAGACGAAAACATACACGCAACATTGCTTCTCAAGGTCTTCCCAGAAGCACACTAAATCATACAATTAATATGGTAAATATAGCAGCTTTCCAACAAAAAACACCAACATGAGTTCACATTGATGTTCATACATGAACCTCAACAGTCACAGCACAGTGACCTAAACCTGCTTTAAGATCGGGGATTAAAAAATGGTTACGGGTGCGTCAAAGATCTATTAACACGTACCTTTCCCCTTTGGAATGTCAATTTACAAGATGCCATGAAACTGTCTAATGACAGTCTACCTTTAAGACACCATTGCTTAAAAATGTGACCTCCAAGTCAAGTGTCTTTTGGCTGCCTTCACATTGGAGAGCTGAGAGAGGCCCCGTGAAATGCCACTCTCCTCATTGATGAGTTACCCAGACTCTGTGCTAGTTCAATGCTACAGCACTTTCCCTTCATTTCAACCAGACGCCGTCGAAATTATACGTCTTCATTTGTGAAGGGCTTAAAGATCAAGTTGAGTTCTGGTCATGCGATTGCATTGTGAAAGATACGGTGGAAATGATTGGAAAATGTCGATCATGTAGTACATGAGCATTGTTGTATACTGTGAGGTTTAGGATCTTCAAAATGATAGGAAATTGACCCGGTCTTGCAAAAAGTCACATGCACTGTACATAGAAATGTGTATATGGGACTGGACAAACAAATAACATGAAATTGTGGTCCACAATCTTTAGCTTTTATTTTCATATTTCAAATATACAAGGGCGTTCGAAGAACCATCCTATTCATAGGAGAATTATCTATGATACTCTTCTACTCTTTAAAATAAAAAGAATGAAAAAGCTTACAAAATATTGTTCACCTTTCCCTCAGAATTCGAACTTCTCTTTAATCTGCACTGAGGGTTCAAATGCTGGATGAAGAATTATATTGTCTTGTAGTTGGTAGAGAGAGAGAGACTGGTAAATGACTTAACTCAAACGAGTGTCACACATAACATAGGACGAGAAATGGAGAGAGATGGGAATAGAGAAAGACCAATCTGCGTCGCTGCCAAATGTCTGCATGTCTGGTAGTTTTGGTGTGATAGAGATGTTCAACTCAACACCGAACACGCGAGGTCAATTGAAATAAAGTGTTTTGACCGATACGTACATCTATACTGATGCTGAAAATACATCAAGCATAATTATAATGGTTCGTTTTCTAACATAGTATTTATATGAAATGCAGAGAAAGAATATAAAATGGACATTTATGTGTACACAGCCCTAGTACAAATGCCTATAGTGGGAATAGTGTATCATTGCAAACACAATACAAAGATGACCATTTGTGCTACTTAATCGTTCACAATTTACAATACATTATTCTGCACCTTCGCAAATTATAGTTCCCCCCCCCTTTTATAATAATTGTATTTTCATGCAAACCTGAAATTATCTCTATAAAAACATCTCTCCATGGTTAATGCAATGTGGTCGAACCTCAACTTTATCATTATATGTTTTTAAATGTAGTATATTGTAAATGAATCTTCAGTTTGAACTTCAAAAGGGGCATGTTGGAGGACATCTACTAAGTACTAAGATCCACGTTAACAAATAATTTTAATCATTCTAAATCTTGTGGTATGATAAATGTTTTCAATTTATCTGATATATCGCAATTTATATATGTGACAACCTATAGTACGACTACTACTTCTACTACTACTACTACTACTGATACTACTACTTCTACTACTACTACTGATACTACTACTACTACTACTACTACTACTACTATCACTACTATCACTACTACTACTTCTACTACTTCTACTACTACTACTGATACTACTACTGCTACTGCTACTACTATCACTACTACTACTACTATCACTACTACTACTACTACTACTACTACTACTACTACTACTACTACTATCACCACTACTACTACTACTACTACTACTACTACTACTTCCACTACTACTACTACTACTACTACTATTACTATTACTACTACTACTACTGCTTCTACTACTACTACTGCTTCTACTACTACTACTACTACTACTACTACTACTACTACTACTACTATTACTATTACTAATATTATTACTATTACTACTACTACTACTACTACTACTACTACTACTAGTACTACTACTTCTACTACTAATGATAATAACACCGACAATACTCATAATGGTGATGATGATAGTGACGCTAGTGATCAATGATTTCAATAGTACGTCCATTTCAAATTCCGCCTTGACAACTATTACCAATAACGCCACATTGGTCTTGTAGGGAGGTCAATGTAGTTTCAACATTATACCACTTATATTATACTGCTTCGTTCACTTCTAATAAAACACTTAAACACCCTGTCCTAATAAAATCTCTTAATTTTGACAGCTGTAGAAATCTCTAAGTAAAAGAACAATCATGCTCGATAGTCTAAAACAAACCGGAAACATTTTGTTGATGTTTGGTATAGACAACAAGGGTTGTATGACACATGCTCCGGAGAAAAATTGCTCCGCGGTAATTTCCTACACTAACCGAATTGCTAACATACTACCATGGACCTAACCCTGTATACTTAACCCAAAGCTTTACCCTAAACTTAACCGAAAACCAATGAATTGCAATCCTAAACCTAACCATTCATTTTGACAAAATAAGGCCTGGAACAATAAGACTATAGCCGGAGCAAAATATGTCGGATTACCAACAATTGGTAAAAGAATAACAGTAACCAGGTGACAGAGCATTGGTCGCCATACTTCATAGCTTAATACTAGCTGCTCGACATCATTTACCAATGTCTCTTTTGTGTCCGTGTATATGACACATTTTCTTTTTTCTTCTTTACCTTCTTTCTTTCATTTTTTATTTAAAAAAAGGAAATTTAATACGATTCTTTTTTGGTTGGATTTTCCCAATGTTCCTTTTCCCACACAACTCCTTGGATACATTTATGTCTTAAAAGTGGATGAGACATTAAACTTTCTAAAACATCACGCACGACTCCCGATCATGTTTCATCTGTGGTAGCAAGCGGAAATGATTGACAAAAAGTGGTTTCAGTTTTAAAGTTCTATTTTCAGCAATTATGGCCTAAATGTAAACATTCTCCGAGTACATGCATGGGAAATATATGCTAGAAAGCACTCGACATGCTAGTATTTCTATGAAAGATAGAAAGTTAGTCATATTGTTTATTAATAATGTTTGCGGTCTCCTGCATTCTTTCCACAGATAGTTCGGATAATACTTCAAATTTAGAATAAAATGTTATATAAATATTAAGTTTCGTTATTATATGTATATATGTAAATACAATTTTAACATGTAGTTATCAATATTTTTTTATTTTGGATATTACCTTAAGTGAATTAAGTTCTTTGTTATTCAGTTATTGTATTTGGTAAAATGCAGACAAAATGCAGAAGAAAGAAAATCAAATATTAAATGAATAACATTAAATGATCGCATTTCAAAAGTGAATTGTAGCATTATTTAATAGTCCCGTAATATGAAAATATAGGACAATTCATTAATAAATAAAATATTACCATGTAAAATGCGTAAGCATGACTGATGTAAAGGGTCATAGTTTTAGGACAGAAGCTAAACAGCGTATTCAGTATATTGTATTAGATGACAAAAATATATTTTGTTTAAATAACAGAAAGGTTTATTTGTTTCTTGTGTTAAATGGTGAAAGAAGATCGTAAATATACTACTGACTATAGAAAGGTACAGCTTCCAATTTAGACGTTTTCAATACCCACTTTTACTCTTAGTGTAGTAAATAGTTTGTCTCTAACCGACACGTGTTTATCCGTTTTTGTCTATTCAAATGGAAGGAATTTAGATCTTTACAAACAGCAACTGATACGCATTGACTATTCAGGGAATATATACATTTTCTAATTGAGAAAAAAATTACATTAAACAAATCTTGTTGTTGTCTATATATCTGACTCTGAGCTCATTCTAAAGAAGACCCCAGGAGTCACTAAGATACAACAAAGACATATAATGTTCATGCTCACTCTGAAAATAATACGTGATGGAAATGAAATGCAATTTTAGAATCAATATAATTCAATTAGGAATATAAGATTGCATACTTCGTTCTGTGTCATAATATTTTTCAATAGAGACCCGATGCAGCGCATTTATAATGATATTGTTTTTCAAAATAATTTTTGTCGTTTTCACCAGTGCTTTAAATCATTCAATAAGATGTTTACATACATTACATGTATATATAAGTTTTTTCTGTTTATAATTTTAAAAGAAATTGCAAACAAATATGACAATCCTGGTTATATTTTTCACATTGCTAAAACTAGAATAGTCGAATAATAATTCTAAAGTATCATTTACGTCTGTATTGAGCAACGTTATAAGTTTGTTTACAATTATCCATGCACCACCCAAAGGAATTTTCTATGAATCATCCATGGATCCTGTCGGCCACAACAAAAAGCTTAAACCTTAATCTCAGCTCAATCCTCATTTATATCTTGAGATGTTTTACCTACCACATTCTGGTTGCTTCTTTTGTCTGGTATTTTGTCTCGACTCCACCATCCAGGGATAGATAGTCTTAGGGGCTTGTCCATTGACAGCACCTGTTCTACAATTCACCATTCCAGCACACGCATCTTGCTCTGCGCAAGAGTTCCCTCCACATCCACCACCACCGCCGCCGCCACCACCACTACCTGCCCCGCCGGAACTTGCCCGGTCAGGGCTTTCACCTGGCCCATAAAGTTCACCAGCTTCTGCCGCTTCCCGTGGGTCTATTCCATGGTAGCCGCCTCCGCCACCGTTGACGGCCCCCTGCCCCTGGTCGTGGTAGAAGTACTGCTGATGATGGTGGTGGCCGGCGCTGCTGCCATAGGCATAACCATTAGCCGATGCATTTTGGCTCCCAAAGTACTCGGCTCCATAGATAGCCGGTGCTCGTTCGTAGTATTCAACCGCCTGCATCGCACAAGAATCCGGTGTCACCACGGCCAAAAATTTATTTCAATCTGAGTCGGAGTTGACACCATTATCAAGAAAGAAAGACACAAACAGATTGTCGCTGTGGCAGCAATGATCATGTGACACGACCTGACCAATCACCAATCACTAAGGTACTAAACGAAGAGATACGGTTAGAGCCAAGGTATAACGTGTTTGGTATTTACATCTAGAGGTGACGACGATTTCGTCTCCGTCTCCTTTTCTCTCTTTCACGTTCTCTCTTCCTCTCATCTCCCCTCTCTTTCATCCTCGCTCTCACTTTCGCCCGGATCTGTGGTAGTGAAATACAATTTTCGAGAACTGCACAGAACTCGTAGTAAGCATGCAGATTTTGATGAGGGCTTGCCGAAAGGAGGAGGTGCTCCCACTAACAAGTTGTTGGTTCATTTTCTTCTCGTTTTGACAAATTTTTGGCCATGTGCAGCGTCTGTCAACAATCAGTTCGAGTTTCGGGACGTTTGTAAAGCTAGAACCATCTCCTACTGATCCCTACGATTTGATAACATTCGTTTTAGTATCAACTGTACATCTAGTAAATAGAAACTTCGACCCACAAATCGCATTTAAATTACATAAAGTAACATACTTTCCAGTTATTGCCATGCTCCATTGGTTGCCACACATTACAATTTTAAGTGTTACCAAGCGAAACTGTCCTCATGACCACAGCCAGCCAAACATAAACATACACCAAGCATTGATGATCAATAATCATAACAATCACAACTTCTTAGTAAGTCCTAATATATATTTATTTTTCTGCTTGCCCTAAATATTGATCAGTATTCTTCAAGATGAAATCGAAACTGTTCTTTGTTGTAGAATAAACAGAGATTGAATCAATCTAAAAAATCCCATGAATTCGTCCCACAATTCGTTAGAAAAAAAGATGCTTAATATATTCTTTAACTATTTTCCTAAATCTAACTTCATAAGTTCTTGGTGTTTATACTACGATTAATGACTTAAATCTAATAGTCACAGAATGCGAAGGTTTTTTTTCGTCATAATATGAAAATGAGGCGTCCACCAGTTTTTTTTCTTCTTCTGAATTCCGGTAATAAATATCATTTTGTTTACTGATATCGATGGAGCCGTCATAAAAACAAAACAAAACAAATAGACAATTAACAAACGACGTAGAATGACAATATCAACCCTACAAAAAGAAACTACTTATTAAAGACACTGTTCTATCTATAGTAACCTTTTCGAATTGCCTATTCTGGATGTCCCTTAATTCATTTTCCAGTGCATCCTCCGTATACCATATCCGTAAGTTGATCAAACACGAATAACAAAGATAACTTTCTATGACAAATTTGTTCTCAGACAATCATTTGCCACGATTTCAGTTGCGTATCATATTTATTGTAACTTGTTATTGATAACATGTTTTGTGAAACAGGGCCCATTTTTTTTTACCCATCTACATTATAATTACGTATTCTTTTCTACTCATTTTGTTCAGGGATGGCGTTTTTCAATTTGTTCATACGACCATTGTCTAGTGGAGATACGTTTATGTTGGACCCGCTCATTTGAGGAAACATAACTATTTAAATTGTTTTGAAACACAGGTAGTTTATCCTGCATAAACACAACTAAACAACTGGAATGAAAACAAAACAAATCAACAACAAAATACCAACTAAAGAAACAAACAAACGGAAATACCACGATATACATGTATTATTACTCAGTCGGAACGAAAGAGATATAACTGAATGAGTTCTACACCTTGTACGGTAAAGGAGAACAGTCTTTCAAAGTCATTAGTATCTTTAAAGATTTTCTATCTTCGTTTTCTCATCTCTTAGTCCATTTCTTAACTTTTCATAGATTCTAAATTTAGATCAACTATGAAGATTACCAATACGCCCTTCGCTCGTGTTCCACTTATTTTCATATTTCTTCTTGGTTTTTCGTCATCTAGTCTTGTCCTTTATATATTTTTTCCTTGTGTGGTGGGTATAGCATGCACGTCTGCATTCATCCATTGCCGATCAGCCGGGGGCGATGGTAGGCAGAGCTGGCGGCTGCTAGACTCGGTGGTGCCGAGTCAAGATGCCTGCACGGTCTCTCTGGAGTTTACCGACCTGCGATCACAAAAACGGGCCAGCAACAAAACGTCATCTTTGAAGAAAGTCGCTGCCCCCCAAGGGGAATCGAGTTCTTCTCAAATTGAGAAGCAACCCCAAATTGGGCGCCCATCATTATACTTTTGAGAAGATGAAAAAGTCGTCCGCTGAGTGCCAGAAGGGCGTTAACTCATACCCTTCAACACAGAGTAACTCCCTTCTGGTTTCCAACAGACGATTTCGCCATTACATTCGGCAGATTGCAGGAAATGTTATCGATACAAACTATAACTGGTATCCTAGTTTAAACAGCAATATGAATGCACGTTTCCATTTGTTTCTACATGTATATTTAGAGCAGTCTAACTTTCGTCAAATTTGGAATACAATCTCATGATGAATTAAAAATGATAGGTTATGATTAAAAGATAATTCAAGAGATTTTCATTTCAAGAACTAAAAAGAAAGCAATGCATGAACAATTAACACAATAATTATCCATGCCCTTACCAAGTTTTGTATTTTTCTCTGTATGTGAACAATTGAATTGTCCTATCTATATTTCTTGAGAATTGGACATATTAAAGCTTGCATCTATTAGTATTTAACAAAGGCCCTAATTCAACCGGTCCCCTTATACGAAAACATAAATAACATCAAATTTACAAGGGATATGAATCATTTAGTTGTTAAATGTATGTGTGTCCAAGTTATAAACTATCCGTTCGAATTGATTTCAAACCCTCACCCCAACCTATCGAGTAAAACTATATGTTCACATCCAAGGTTGAATATCATTTCATCCGAAACCAATACAAACAATGTTTGTCGATAAGTAACTCTTTTGCATTAATCAAGCTCTCTATCGGCCCATTTGTATTTGTAATTCGAATATCATGGACCGTCGCTTCTGTATAGAATATGCATTTCATCTTTTATTGTATGTAGAATAACACATGTATGTTGAGCTATTCTCTCATTTTAAAATAGTCTTTAATTGGCCCATTATTATATACCCCTTCCTGTAGTCAGGTGACGATGAAAAGTAAGAAATATGGAATCTACATGAATTAACAGAAGGAACGATGTGGAGATCTGGACATTACATTGCCCCACACGTCATCATATATACGTGTATGTTTTTTAATTGTGTTTTTGTCATTTCGTACACTTCAGATTTTATTTTGCATCCACCAAAAATGATAAACAAAAAAACAAAACTAAACTAACAAGCAAGAACTCGTTTAGATAATTTCTTGGAAATCACATTCAATACCGAAAATGAAAGACAACCTTTAAATCCTAATTCTTTTAATAAAGAAGAGAAACTCAGTGCACTTGAGGGTAAATTTCTCTCTCGCTCTCTCTCACTCTCTCTCTCTCTCTCTCTCCATCTTTCTCTCTCTCTCTCTCTATCTTTCTCTGGCCATGTGCCATATACTCAAGACACACGCGGAACCCTTCAAAGCTTTCTTTGAGAAAATCCACCCAGATCCTTCCGCAACGAGGGACCCAGGTCGATTAACAAAAGAGATGCAACCTGCGCCGAGTTTTCAAACTCACAAGACAACTTCCATACCGACACTGAACAGACATAACAGTTGCTTTACTCTACTCCTCAAGAACAAAAATATAAAAGGATGCAAAAGCATGTGTATTCGTATTGTCATAGGATACATACAAAGCAAACACATCAATGCAGACATCTTATTCCCAAGAAGATCATGCTTGGAGAATGTGGCCATATTCTCTTACCGATAAACATCCAAATTGGTGGAAGTGCATGGGTTTAAACAATCGAGGAGGGAGAACGATTTTCAGGAGTGTCATCATCACAATTAACCCCGCGGCGTGCCTCAATAGAAATCTTCCGACTGGAGCATTGATCACTGTCAGGACATTGCATTGAAAAAAGTGCGAGAATAGACGGGAACCACATTGCTCATGTTGTTCATGTTTACAATGAATGACGGAATATGATGCAGAAATGAAAGAAATACTTGAAAGCTTATAATAGGAAAATGACACATGATGACAAAAATAGATACGAGAGGAAGAAGAAAAATAAGAAGTAATGAAAAGATGAGGGCGAAACGAAGATGGTATAAACGAAAGAACAATCCATTGATTAACTAATAGCGACGTCAAATTCGGTCAAACAAAGTCATCCTTTTACATCATGTTGTCATTTAAAAGTGGATTAATTTTGTTTACCTTTTTATAGAAATCCAAGCTTTTTACTTTTTTCAGCAATGGCAGAAGTCACTGAAAATTGAAACCCTCATTGGATGACGTATTATTAATATAAGGCATCAATCCCTTAAAAAATATTTTGACCTCTAGATTAGGTATGTAATATTGAGAACGAGGGAAGTAACTGATTATATTACACTCCCTGTCAGTCAATAACGGTATAATTTCTGTTGGGAGTAAGAAGGACCTTAAGTCATACAGAGTTAACGCCCTTCTGGCTCGATATAGATCAGGCCTTCTCAACTAGTTTATTAGAAGCGCCAAAAAAAAATGAATTGAGGTTGAAGTGCCAACCTGTATGTTTGGTGACTGTGTTACGAGGGAGCGTAGCGACCTAGCCGATACCGGATGGGGTCCAGGGGGCGAAGCCCCCGGGAAGCTAGTGGATTTTAGGGCTTCGTTGAGGCCCAGATGTGGCATTTTTAACACCTTTTTGTTCCATAAAACATCAATCATAATTTCATATTGATGTGAATTAATTAGTACAATTCCTGGCTAAAATCTACACTGGAAGTTAATTTATATGTAGTTATTTTGGTGCAATAAACACGGAAAATGTCAAAATGAAGTGAAAATCAAACAAACAAAATGGCTTGCTTACATTTTGGGCTCAACTTCGACTGCGAC